CATCAAGAAATGGTTAGATATTCTAGTCTTCTCGGATAGGGACGAATAAATGGAGGTCCCGTCTCCTGCAGGGTTGGGGTAGGAGACGTTAATTTCCCACGCACGAGATTACTGTGTGATGGATGTCCTCCCTGCGGTGGGTTGGGTGGGTAGTTACAGGGCCGTTCTGAAAATCACTTCTGTGAGAATGCACCCTGTCTAAAGATTATTATCTATCTATCTATCTATCTATCTTACCAATGTTAAGAGAATGAAGATGGGCGAGTCCAGACATGGCTTGATTCAGTACAGTTACTGGTGTTAACCCATGGCGCTCAAAAGTCGGATCTTCCACATACTGGAAAAGAAAAAGAGCTTATCAAGTCACTAAATATTCTTCACCAAGTCATTACAATAAAGAACAAACCCCAAAAGATAACGTTGTGATGTGCCTACCTCTTGAAGGGTAGCTTCACATAATTCCAAAGCTATATACCGAAACTGCTGATCCTCTTCCTAAAATGACGATTAAAGAGAAAAAAATTAAAATAATTTTACACATTCCTTATATAAATAGCCAGTATAGAGAACAGTCGCGCTTCAGAAAACGCTCGAGACGCAGTCAACTGAAGTTGAACGCTTCACGGGTGACTTACCGTACAGAAATACCTAATAACGTTTGGATGGGCATCTGATTCACGTAATAGATCCACCTGAGAATAAAAAAAGAACAAAAAGAGCTGTTACTCTGTCTCCGGTCTCCAGGGAAATCTCATTTGTTTGTCTCATTTGTCTCTGTTACCAATTCTCTTAAAATACCACATTCATATCATGAAAAAAATCCTGAAAATGACTAACCTCTCTGTCAGCAAAAGTGAAACATTCAGGTAAAATGCGTTTCACTGCAGCATCGCGGCCATCAAATTTGCCCCTGGAAAAAAAAACGCGTGAAAGGAAGTTAGATATACGTATCAAATAATTCAACTGAGGATACAGGTCTACCGAATTGTAAGACAAAAAACAGTGAAAAGACAGAAAACGGCTTACTTGTACACAACTGTTCCTTCACAGCCTCGACCAAGAACGTTTTTAAGAGAGAACGAGATCTTCCCCACAGACACCAAACTACCTGTTCAACAAAAGAAAAAATACATATGATGCACGATCCTCGCAGTAGATAGCGCTATTTGAGCAATAGCGAAAATCAGACCTGAAAAAAATCAGGCCTGTACGGGATTCGAACCACTGACCTCTGCGATACTAGTGCAGCGCTCTATCATCTGCCACTGTTTGGCATTTTTTTAAGTGAACTCTCGCACATGCTCGTGTAATGTTCCTGAATTCAAACAGGGAGCTGCCATTTCAAGCCAGTTCTTCACTAAACCAAATGACCTTGATAGTACCAGTCTAGTATCTGGGATAAAGAGCTGACTCAAATCTCCTGGATTGTAAATCCATTCATGATTCACACACTTCTCAAGGCTAAATCCATTCCCGAACCTATTCAACCACTCCCACCCTTCTGTAAATTAAAAAGAGAAACAAATCATGCACAATCTAATATTTAAACAAAACAAGCAAAGGATGATAAACACCTTTCGCTGAATTGCTACTTGCTGGAATGTAGGTTTATTCTTGTCCTTAACAGTAACATCCTGTTAAAACAAACCTTGCTTGGTTAGTATTCTTTAAGACAATGTAAC